ATGAAAGCATTAGTAAGAAAAACCAAGAATTAGCAATACCCAGTGATGGAGAGACATTTTATAAGAGGGCAATCATTTTATAGGAAAGTAGTTAAAGAGTTTGTTCTCTGACAATACACAGGCAAAGATGACTAAGACATGAACCCTACCGTAAGGGGGTTCACAATCTGCAGTTTAAAAATCCTACCCTTTATTAACTGTGTGACTTCAAGCAAGTTGCTTCACCTCCCTAAGCCTCAGTTTTCTTGTAAAATTGGGCTGATAATAGCATATATCTTACAGGATTAATATGAAGATGAAAAAAATAAATGCCATGTAAAGTGCTTAGTACGGCATCTGCTACAATAAGTGCACAATGACTTTAGCTGTCAAAAGTGCATGTATGTGAAGTTTGCACCACTGCAATTGTATTGTGAAAGAGGGAGCAACATTATGGACAAGTGAGCAGAGTTGTATTAGGGTAGAGGACTGCAGAGGGGTTATTTTCTTCAAATTTTAGTTTGCTTACATAATTTTTAAAAAATTGATTCAGTTCCAACACATACAAGCACCTACTATGTGCCAGGTCCTATACTGGAAATAGAAATGAATAGTTTCTGCCTTAAAGGGACTCATAATATGTGGGCAAGCCATTCATGCATGATTCATTCAACAAATATTCATTGAGCATCTACCATATACCAGGAACAGTGCCAGGTGCTGGGAATTTATAGGGAACAAACTGGACAAGGTGGCTACCCTCATACAGCCTACATGCTAGCAGGGAAGACAGACTATAAGCACATAAAGCAAACAGGATAATTACAGATTCTGACAAGTACGAAGATAATAAGCAGGGTTACAAAACTGTCTGATGCTGAGAGGCAAGCCCACTTCAGACAGTGTAGTCAGGAAAGGTTTCCCTGAAGAGGTGACATTTGAGCTGAGATAGCAGCAGAGAATAGGCAGTCATCTCAGGAGCAGGTGGAAGAGCATTTGGGCAGAGCGAATACAAAGGTCCCTAGGTATGAAAGAACTCAAGTATTCCAGGAACAGAAAGGAGGCCGTGGGACTGGAGCAGGTGAGTGAGGGGTTTACTGGGGAGATATGTGACTGAAGAGATGGTTGGGAGCTTTGCTTAGCTATGGTGAAGAGCCTGGATTCTATCCTGAGAGTAAAAGGAAGCCACAGGTTTGAGGAGAGGAGGGATATGATCTTTGGGGGTTTTTTAAATCACTTTTTCTTCAGTGTGGAAAATAGACAATTAGGAAGGCAGGAGTGGAGGCCAGAAGACCAGTTAGTGATTACTACAGAAGACTAGTTAGTGATTACTACAGAAGACCAGAAGGGGTGATGGTAGCTTGCATTAGGGTGGTGGCAGAGAAGAAATTAGATGGATTCCAAATGCTTTTTGGAATTAGACTCAAGAATTGCAGGTAGACTACATGTAGGAAGAGAAGAAAAGCAAGAATCAAGAATAATGCCAAAGTTTCTTAGCTTGAACAGTTGGCTGGCTGGCCATGCTATTTACTCAGAGAAGACTCAGAGAAGGAAGAAATTTTCAGTTGGGAATTAACAGTTCAGTTCTGAACAAGTTAATTTGAGAGCCTGTGAGACACCCAACATAAATATCAAGTGAATCTGGAGCTCAAAGGTACAGCCCAGGTTAGAGAAATTTGGGAATGAACAGAGTGTAGAAGATATTCAAAGGCTCAGTCTGGAAGAGTTTACCTAGGAAATACATGTAGACAGAGAAGAGCATCAAGGAGAGAGACCTAAAACAGTCAACATTTAGAGGAGGAGGAGGAAGAAAAGTGCCAGAGAAACAAGGTGGGCATAGCAGAGGAACAGGGAAAGCCCACAGTGATGTCACAGACGCCAAGAGCATGAAGTCGGATGAATTTCCTCTGCTGCTCGAGACAGAAAGCCACTATTGGCCTAGCAACATGGAAGTGATTTTCAAGAGCGTCTTCTGTGGCATCATGGAACAGATGCCACACTACTGGAGAGGTTGGAAGAGTGGGTAGAAGAGGAGGAGTAAGACCATTGAATGCAGACCACTTGGTGGAGAAGTTCAGACATGAAGAGCAGTAGCTGAGGGAAGGTTACAAAATCTCTAAAAGAAGAGAACATATGTAGGTCCAATAAAAATACAAAGAGATATCCATCCAACTCCTTAGTGATTAGGAAAATGCCAATCAAGACATGAGATACCATTTATATCCATTCAACTGGGAAAATTCTTAAAGTCTGACAACACCAAGTGTTGGGGGAAAATGGAGGTCCACCCCGTCTCATAGGCTGCTGGATTGCCAACTGGTACAACCACTTTGGAAAACAGTTTGGCACTATTTCATGAAGCTGAACATTCACATGCCCCATGCTCAGTGATTCCACTCCTTGCTCATGTTATCATGAGACATGAACAAGAATATTCATAATGGCAGTGTTCACAGTAGCAAAAAACTAGAAACAACCCAAATGCCTTGAGAGGGGAATAAACAAACTGCAACATACTCAGTGGCAGAGGGTTATACAGTAGTCGAATGAATGAACTGTAGAGGTATACAGCAGTACTGATGAATCAGACTATGATGTTAAGTTTTCAAGCCCCAAAAAAGATTACATAATGACAACAATCTTTTTGTAAAGTAAAATAAATTATAAGTATATTTTAGGATTAGATTTAGATGTAATAACACTGTATGAAGACATACAAGTGGTCAACACGTGTATGAAAAGATGTCCAACATCATTAATCATAAGAGAAAGGAAATCAAAATCACAGTGAGATCACCTCACACCTGTTGGACTATTATCAAACATACAAAAGACAACAAGTGTTGGCAAAGTTGTGGAGAAATTAGGACCCTTGTGCACTGTTGGTGAGAATACAGTATGGTGCAGCCACAATGGAAAACAGTAAGGAAGTTCCTCAAAAAATTAAAAATAGAACTACCATATATGATCTAGCAGTCTCACTTCTGGGTATTTATCCAAAAGAACTGAAATCAGGATCTCTAAGACATATTAATGTCCCATGTGTTCATTGCAGCACTCCTCACAACTGCCAAGAGGTAGGAACAACCTATATGTCCATTGATGAATGAATGGATGATAAAAAAACTGCTACGTACATACAAAGGAATACTATTCAGCCTTATCAAAGAAGGAAATCCTGCCATATGCAACAACATGGATGAACATTGACTAGATAATGGGGGAGATCATGGAATTACTCACTTTTTGGTTTGATGATGGTTTTCTTAAGTCCTTATCTTTTAGCAATATATACTAAAATATTTTTGAAAAAATTCTAGTAACATTTGGTCTGTAGTTTTTGTACTTTTTTCATGACACTGCTGTAGGGTATATACTACACACATTTCTATCCAGCAGGATTGTACTTCTAAGGCACAGACAATTCCTGCTCACCTGCTATCCTTGGCAGGGCTCAGCACAATGCTTTGCTGAGTATTTGTTGAACTTTAAAAAAAGAAAAGAAACAAACCAAAAAGGGCCAAGCATGCTCCAGTGATGAGAACTATACCTTGAATCAAGGATTATGATTAATACAACTTCTATATTTGAGGTCCAAAATCAAAGTCCCGGGGAGAAAAGAGCAGGCAGGGGTGCAAAGCTGCCACACTAACTAATGGGGCAGAAGCTGCAGGTATCCCAGGTAGGCTGGGTCCCTCTGACACACTCTCAGCACAGTTGTGGCTAACTTCTGTGTAATCATCTACACAATGTCTCCACCACCAGGTTGTGGGCCCCACCCTGGATCTAGTGACATGGCCAGACTCGGATGTCAAGTGGTTGACAGCTCAAAGGAAGAAACCACAGGAAAGACCACAAGGATGGTCAGTAAGGATGGTGCCTAAGTCAGGAATACCACCAGGAGATTAATCAGAGACCCTGGAGCCGGGTGTGGCAGTGGGCTGGGACCCCAACCCTGCTCATCTGAGGAGCCGATGAAGGGAATGGGGAGTGAGCCAGCGATGGCTGGTCCTTTCTCGGTGCAGTTGGAAGTGGTATACCACAAGAATGCAGGCAATGCTCATGCATCCCAGGAGAAAACTGAATTCCTGAACACATCAGGGAGGCTTACTCTGACAAGCAGAGGAAATCACACTGAACCACACGACTTGTGGAATGAAGACCCGTCAAGTCATGGGTGTGGGTGTCTGGGGGAGGAAGGAGGAGCTCCCTCTGGCTGCAGTAGATATGGGGCGGGAAGAGCTACATAGAGGAGCTGATATCAGGTTGGGTTTAAATAAATAGGTGAGATGGAAAGGGAGAGAAAAAACCAAAACAGATTGAAAGCTCATGATTGTCTAGGTGCTGGTTAGGCACTTGAGTATCCTTCCAGGAGAGGGGCCTCACAACAAAGGCCTGGAGGTGTGAAAATATGACAGTGTGCCTGATTTTCCTTCCCCTCTTACAGATACCCATTAAAGCATGGAGACCCTGGGCTGGATTCTGCAGGCTAGGAGGAATGTTTTGTCTTCTCCTATTCCCTTGTTAATCTGAAAAAACCCACTGAAGATGAACTGTTTCTTTTGACTTATAGGAATCCACCCCAGAGCAGTGATCAGAGACTGGATGTCCAGATATACTCACATTGCTCAAAAACAGGAAACCAAATGGCCAAACGCTAGAGTTAGATTGGTTAAAATACTATGCAGTCATCAAAAAGCATGTTGTCAAAGATTAGTTATGGTATGGAAAGAGCTATAACCCATATTAAGTGGAAAAAAAACCAGCTTACAAAACAATACAATCCCAACTTTATGGGGAAAAAAAGTATACTACATTTTTTGAAAGACTGAAAAGAAATCTGATGTTCAAAGAGCCTATGTCTATGTGGTGGGTTTTCTTCATGTCTATGGATGATAATTTTCTTCATCTTTGTTGTCTATTTTCTACAATGAATATGTTTTGCCTTTTAAAAATTAGATTAGAACACAAACAATGTTAAAAGCACACAATTGATAACAGGCACACATGGGCTAGCTCACCTTCTGCAGGATTGGGGTAGGGCAGGTGCTGTCAAACAGGACTGAGTTGAAGATTCCATACACTCCCTCATCAAGGTGGTACACGATGGTCTTGGGGACAGAACCATTTTCCTCTGCAGGGAAGGGAGGGGTCAGGAGCAGCACAAACAGTGTAGGGGAGTAGGAGCAGGGAACTGGCTCAGTGGTGGGCTCAGCCATGACAGGTTACTGAAGCCAAAGGGCTAACCCCTCCTCAACCATGGGTGAGATCCTGCCTCCTCCCATGACATGAGGTTCACTGCCATGTTATACACACCCTTGCAGCTGAGCAACACAGGACACACTCATTGCCTATATCTGAGCCCTCTGATACCCCAGCAAGGGTAGAGAAGCAGCCCACCCAAACTCAACACCTAATAAGGCTAATTAGGCCACTTGCTCAGAGGCCCAAGATGTGGCAATGTATGGACTGGACTAGTTAGGACAATCCCCAGATTTATAAAGAAGGCCACAGGAATGCCATCCCCCCCAACACACAATACATTCTACATGGAGCCAACTGTCCCTCCATATGGATTCTCGCTGGGGAAAAGCACACAGACCTCAGGCTCTACTGCCTGGGGATCCTGGAGCAGAGGGCAGAGCCCCAAGATCAGAGTCCCTGGCACGCCTCACTCAAGGGGCTGCTGAGAGGACTGATCTATCTGGAAGGGCAGGGAAGAGCACTGATATTGGCAGTGTGGGCAGAGGAACTTGAGTCAGCCCCGCCTGATCTCGAATCCTGACACTGCCCCTTAGATGTGTGACCTTGGGCTAGTGATTCAACCTCTCCCTACCTACATTCTGTTATCTGTAAAGTAGACTTGCAAATATAAGTTTCATTAATTATTTTCACTACGTTATGAGCAGTAGTGTAAGAGCCTGTGCTTTGGAGATGAGACAAACATAGGATCAAATGCAGGCTTTACCTCTTAACTAGCCACTAGCAATTCACTTGTATTCTCTTTCTTTCTCAATTTTCTCATCTGTACAATGGAGTTAATAAAGTTACCTATTCTCCCTAAGGTTATTTTGATCTCAATCTTCATAAAACGCGAACATGCATAGGAAAAAAAATAAGTGTTTTGGCAGTGAAGGAACCCAATAGTAAGTTTCCCTAAAGCAAGGACCCATTCTCTGGATTCCCCCATACCCTAAAATCAGACCCTGCTCAGCCAGCCACTGTCCCTAGCTTTAGGAAAAAATGGGGCCCTGCTGCCCACCTGCTACCTACCCTCCCTGCCAGGCTGGTCCAGAAGAACCTCCTTCTTGGCAATGATGCTGACTGCCAAGGTCAAGGCTGAGGTCACATAGTAACGCCCCAGTTTAGCAAGGATTTCCACACCACAGCCCTCTGGGAAGTAGAGGTCCAAGGATGAGTTGACCACAGAAGCAATCTGGTGGTAGGGAGGTGGGAAGACAATTACATGTTTGAAATGTGCAGTTCATGCTGAAGACTTGCTACAGTTGCAAGTCTATTTATTGAAAACCTTAATTTCAGAAAGGAAAACTTGGCAGCTGCTAATGCCCCAGCTGGTAATTGCAGACAGCTGGCCAACAAGGTAAGTAGGAGCGAGCTGGGTCAAATCCTTGTGCTTGTGTAAATCACCCTCCTCAATGTCCCCACAATGGAAAGAACACTCTCAACATAACACTTGGTACTCAGATTCTAGAAGCCCAGATGTGGATCTTTCATAAACAACCAAACCAATCTGTTAAATGGTACATTTTTTACAGAAAATTCAGAAAACAGAGAAGGAAAAATATCAAAATCACTCTTAATTCTGTCATCCAGATTAGAGCAATCATCATTAGCTTTTAGGAGTAGTTCCTTTAATTCTTTTTTATACACTTTTTATTACAAACATTATACAGCTGTATAAGTTTTTATAACCTGTTCTACTCAATAGACTAAATGACCTCTCCAAGTGGGTGCGTTTATTTTAAGAACATACCATAATTTAACCAATCCCCGAGTATTAGACAGACCAGGGAAGTCCTCTGGACCTGTGTTACAAACAATGCTGCAATGCTCATTTTTGAGGCTAATTCTCTGTGTCTGCGGGCATTATTTTCTTAGGGTCAATTCTTTGATGTGGATGATCCAGGATGAGGCTCTTACCAAGGAGAAGGCGACCCCTGGTGGTTTGAGTGGGGATTTTGATGACACATTTTTCTTGATTTCTTCCCTCATCACAGGAGACGGATGGACTGGGAGTGAACAAAAGTTCGCTTTTCCCTTCCCTACTCTCCCTATTTGATTCACCCGTCTGAGGGTGAATAGCGCATACCCAAACTTTCCAAAACCTTTGACTTACTGCAAATATGACCTGGTTCAGCCTTGAATGTGTGCACAGGCTAGAGTCAGGCAGAGCTGGGTTGCAGCCCACTGCTATAGACTCAGAACAGATGTAACTTCCATGAGCCTCAGTTTTCTCAGCTGTAACCAGGGCTAATAACCAGATAATCAGGATGAAGCACTATGCCCAGCATGCAGCACACAGGACCCGCTCACAGGGGCCTTCCTAAGATCATTACAACCCACCCTGCCCCCACCCCCAACGAGCAACACTTCTCACCCCAGAATTACCTCTTCGAATCTCACTTTGGCCCCTTCCACTCCAGGAAAGCCGCCACCCAGGTCCAGGATGTGCATCCTGTGGCCCAGCTCAGCACCCATTTCAAACACAAGCCGGGCATCTGCGATGGACTGAGCGTAGACCTGAAGGTCAGGACAGCCGCTGCCAACATGAAAACTGGGAAAGGAGGAAGAGCCCCAGCTCACATGCAGAACCCCAGTGCCAGCCCCTCCGCTCCAAGCAGGAGCTACCTTGGAAATCACACTGGACACTGTGCCCATTTTACAAACATAATGCCTGAGGGCCTGAAAGGTTACATGGGTTGCTAAGGGCCATGTGGCGAGGGAGGAGAGGACAGCAGACTAGATCCAAGGTCCTTGGCACTTGGTGACCCTCGCATCCCTCCATGCTGGCCCTGGAGGAGGACGCCTTCTGGGACAAGGGCCAGGGCCCCAGAGTTAACCAGATCTGGACGTACCTCTCAGTCAGCAGTGTGGCCTACCTGTGCTTTCACTTCCCCATCTAAAAGGCTGTGGGATAATGTATGTGAAGCACACAGCACAGTGCCCAGCATATCCTAAGCATAACTGGGAGCTATAGGGTTAGGTTATTATTATTACTTCTTCCATATCCTAGCCCTGCAGCAAAAGAGGGAGAGCAAAGGTTTGGTAAGAGCCGGGTCCCTCCTGGAACCTCCTGAGACAAGGCCTTCTGGGGTCTGTGGCGGTGGGGTAGCGGGGCATTCCAAACCTTCCTTCTAAAGAGAGGGAACTCTCAAATGGCAGAACTCCAGGTGGAGGGACAGGTGCTCCTTGGAGGCCGAGGAAGGTCTCCTACAGAATTCATTGCTGGGAAAGAGGCGATGGGCCTGGCATGGGTGGGGATGGTAGGGCCTCCAGGCACTCACCTCACACCCACCACCTCCATGCAGCTCTTCTTGGCATTTTCAAGCAGGTGTCTGCAGGATTTCAGTGATGCTCCAAACCTGAGGCTCAGGCGGCTCAGGGAGTGGGAGTCATTGGCGGCAATGCATAAAACCATCCTGCGGAAACACACAGCATGCTTTGCCAGGGAGACTCTGCCTCCCCTACCTCAACCCCATATTCTCTGAGTCAAGGGGTGCGAACCCGCATGGCTCAGAGCCACCCAACCCCATAGTTCCCCTGATCTCTTCCTCACCCTCCACAGCCAGTCGGCCTCCATATCCTGTCTTGTCCATTCCCTACATGTCCCTGGGCCCAGCCCATGGCCTCTGCCCTGTTCTTGACCTCACCAGTTCTCCCCCAAGGCAGCTCCACTTCCTCCAAGTCAGGTGCTACACCAGCCAGACTTTTCCACCTTTTCTTGTATGAGGGGAACCATTTCTCAAACACAGTCCAATACCATGTAAAAAAGTGCAAGCTGCTTCAGGTGAACCAAAGTGGCCAGCAGCTGGCCTGTCCCACTGAGAAGCCCCTCCCTGGCATCCCCAGGCTGTCACGTGGCCATGTGAGAGCCACGACCTGACCAAAATGCCTAGCGTGGACCCCTCCTGAGGCCCATTTGCATCAGGTCCCTGCCCTGTGAACAGGGTCATCCTCCGTCTCCCTCACCCCCGCACATGGGGTGTTCCCATCACACCAAATTTCTCTTTAGGCAGCACATGCCCCCTGTGCCTTTCCCGACCTCGATGCATTTGCCAATGCTGTTCTCTCTGATACACTGTTCATGCCCTCCCAAAATTCTGTTCAGTTCTCAGGGCCCACCCCGAGTGCCACCTCCTTGGTGAAGCTTTCCTGAACCCCACCCCCCACCCCCACCCCCACACTCTCTCTCTCTGTCTCTCAGCTGGCAATTTTGACCATGGGCTTTGCTCTGCCTGCTGTAATCCATTATTTCTGCCTTTTTGCTGGTCAGGCCCTGGCATCCTGGGTCCAGTCCAGGAGTGCCTGCCTCACCTTCCTGTGGCTGTGGCCTAGTCTAGGTCCTCTGCTCTAAGTCTACACCTCCCACCCACTCCAGCCTCCCCACACAAGTGGTTCTCAGCTTACTTGGCACTCGGGTGGCTCTTTGCCACCTTTGCCAGCTCCATCTCGTTGTCAAAGCTCAGTAGCTGGACCCCATGCTTGGCAGCATACTTGATCTGTGCAATTTGCTTACAGGGGTTGGCGTAGATGATCTTACTGGCTGGGACACCAATACGCTGGACCAACTCCATCTCTGCCTGTAGGGTCCCAAAGGTGGTAGTGAGGAGGCACCAGGGCCTGCTGGGCCCACAGAGGCCAGGGAAGCACAAATGACGGGCTGTCATAGCTATGCATGGGGAGGTCCATGAGAAGTGGGCCTTGCTTTTAGGCAACAGATATACAAAAATCAGAACCCACGTCAGTTTACCATTCTTTGGCAGGCAGGGCTGCTGCATACAGATGTGCAGGTGGTACACTGCACAATCAGGGGTGGGGGGGGTCCCATTCACAAATAATACATGGTAGATTTGTATATTGATTACAACTTCCTGGCAGTAAAGCATTTCATTCTAACAAAATCAGTGTATTTATTATAATAATGAAGTGTCTTAAGGAAGGGGTATGTTTTCTAATTCACACAAAGATAATGTATGGTCTCATGGCGGTGGCTTTGCCAACAGGCATCTGACACATTTTCCTGGCAGATTTAACTGTTTGGAGAATAGTACTTGATGTACTTGAAAGTTCACCAAACCCAGAGTCTTTTTAACATAGGTCATCCAATATCCAGAGGCCTGCTGTGTGCACGGCACTGTACTGACTCCAGCAAGCCCCCTCCCCATAGGGCCTCCTCTTCCTCCTGTTTAGAATGCTGTTCCCCCTGATCACTGCACTAATGATACAGATGATGATGATCAGGGTGAGAGCCAACATGGCCATTAAGCACCCACCACAAGTAGGCACCAAATGAGATGCTTTACAGCAGGTGTTGGCAAACCTTCTCTACAAAGGGCCAGAGAGTAAACAGTTCAGGTTTGGTGGGCCATATATTTCAGTCACAACTACTCAACTGCCTTTGTAGTGCCAGAGCAGCCACAGACATGATGTAAGTGAATGAGCATGACTGTGATCCAATAAAACTTTACAAAATAAGGCAGTGACCTGAATTTGGCCCACCATCCATCCAAATCTAGTGACCTGGATTTGCCAACTCTTGCTTTCAATTATCTAAGTTACTCCTTACAATAGCCCCATCAGATGGGTAGTGGCTCCGCACTTCAGAGAAGGAAACCTGTGCTCAGAGAGGTCAGGTAGCCAAGTAGGAGGCAGCATTAGCTTTCATGCTCATGTCTGACTCTCTGTGATTAAGGGACGAAAGTCAAGAGGGAGCCAGTTTTGAAACACTGTAGGAGACACAGGACCATTTTAGCCATCCTGAGTTTATAATAAGACTAATTTTAATTTAGTAGCTTTTCAGCATGAGGTACTTATGTGCACTATCTCAGGCAATGTCTCCAACAATCCTCAGAAATACTACCGGCCACTTTTTACAGAGGACAAAACTGAGTTCAGAGAAGTCCACCTGCCTATAGTGACACAGCCAATAAATAGCCGAATGGGGCACAAATGTCCAACTCCAGAGCCAGAACAACTGCCATCACAGCTGGCTTCTAAAGATCTGAGTGTGAGTGGACATGAAAAATGCGTTTTTGCTCACTATGTCACCTCATGCAATGAGGAGAAGAAGCAATGGTAGCACTTTGGGGAGCTGTGGTTTAGCTTTGATTATAAATATTTATATAATAACTTGTTATTCATTAAGGATCACCATTTTCCAGTTATTGCATTAAGTATTTTTATATACATTCTCATTTAATCCTTATCATAGTCTCAGGATATAAGAAACAGAGGCCCAGAGAGGTTAAGTGACTTGTCTAAAGTTGCACAGCTTCTGAGCTGCACAGCTGGAATTTTAATCCAGACTGTCAGGCTTTAACACACCAGCTCTCAACCACAGTACTATAATGGAGAATTGAAAATTGATTCTTAGTTGACGAGTATTTCTTGACCACCTATTGAGATGCCAGGCTCCTTAACCATGGCTAATAAAAACAAATGGGAAGTAAAGCAGACAGGGTCTCATCCTATGGAGCTTTCAGGCTCATGGGGCAGACAGACAGAAACAAATGAACACTGAATAATGATAGAATTACAAATGGATAAGAACCGAGAATTAAAAAATACAGGATATTAGAGAATGTGGGATGGGGACACCTGGGTGGGAAGGATGAAGGACAGCCTTTCTGAGGCTCAGGAATTTAATCTGAGCCCCAAAGAGGCCTCAGCCAGGCCCAGAGGGAAGGCAAGAATGGTTCTCATCGAGGAAGCAGACTGTGCAGAGTTTTTGAGGCAAGAGTGTGCTTTGCCTGATCAAGAAACAGAGAATGCTGGCATGGCCAGGCAGGTTGAGCACAGTAGGGGAAGACGTTGGAGGAAGTGGGCAGAGCCAGTGGGGAAACCAAGAAGGCTGCTGTGGACTTATTTATATTTTCACCTAAGGGATGGGAAATGGTCTGGAGGGTTTCAAAAAGGGAAATGAAATGGTCAGATTTGTATTTTAAAAGCAAATTTAAAGGCATATCACTCTGGCTACCATGTGAAATTGGTCTGAGGAAGGACCCGAGAGGATTCTGGGAGACTGGTTACAGTCACCCTGGGGGAGCCGAGAGGCTGCACTAGAAAGTGGGGGAGATGTGTTTTGGAGCAGTGCTGGCAAGCTCCTGATGGATTGCACGTGGGGATGAGGGATGTCAGGGAGATTCCACGCCCAGCAGGCCAAGGGGCCCTTCTCAAAGGGAAAACCGTAAGTGCTTTTGAACACGTGGAGTTCCAGGCATCCTGTGGTATCAAGTCAGCAGCTGGGTATATAGGTCTGGATTGGAAATAAAAATGGGGGAGGTGATGGCATATTGACAGTATTTAAGGCCATGGGAGGAGATAAAGTTCCCTAAGAAGAGGGAGTGTTCACAAGAGAAGGAAGCCTGAGACAGAATCCAGAGGAACTCTAACCATAGCAAACAGGAAGAGCCAGCGCATGTTTGCTGGACCCGTGGACAGGGAAGAAGAGGTAGGACAATACATGCATTACAATGCCGTTCCTATCAAAGCAAACCTGGTCTTGGAACTTGTGTCTGTGTGGAAGGAGGTGTCTCAACTGCCAGGGGCCCCCCGTGAGGGGGAGGCAGGCACAGAGCAGCATGTGCTTTCATCTGATATACTTCTGAACCTTTCAAAACTAGGAGTGTATGTTATTATTGACTATTCTTAAAAAGAATATATCAAAAATGGGGAGTTGCTTTTCAATGGGCATAGAACTTCAGTTCTGCAAGACTAGGTAAGTTCTAGAGAGCTGCTGTACAACACTGTAACTTGATTAACAGTAATGGATTGTGTGATTAAAAATCTGTTAAGAGGGTAGCTCTCATGTTAAGTGTTCTTAGCACACACACACACACACACACACACACACATACAAAGCCGCTGTGTGGAATGTTGAGAAGCCAGATACTAAGAGGACCAAGGAGTGTCCCCAACAAGGTTTCAATGCATCAACATGGATAGATCTCCAAACCCTGCTGAACTGAAAGCTGTTGTCTGCAGTACCTACCACATGACTGTCTTTTTTATCTCTGGAGACATAAAGCTGATGTCCTTTTTGTGTGTGTGAATGAATCAATGTATTATTTGAATAATTCAAGATGAACATTGAAGGTAAAGTGCTCACTGGATCCTGGGGGTAAGAGGAAAGTTCCTGGAGCAGTGAGAATGGAGGTCGGGAAGCAATGGCTTAGGAGTGGGGGCCGAGAGGAAGGGACAGCGAGTGCAGACAGGCGATTATAGACACCTTGGTCTGGCCACGAAGAAAGAGCAAGAGATTGGCTTGGGGGGTGACGTGGTACCCAGGGAAGGCTTTTTAAAATGGGAGGACACTGAAAGAGCATGAAAAGATGGTGGCAGGCAAGATGAATAAGGTCCTTGGGAAAGATGGCTGGGTGGGCCAGAGCCCCATGCAGCACATGCCTGTGCCCTTGACTCTGTCTGATGTGTGTCTGCATACCCAGCCCCAACCTAGCCCTAAATCAGTGTCCACTGAGGAAGGCATGGGGATGGTACATATGGCCACCAGCTATAGCCAACCAGGAAAGGGCAGCCTCCACCTTCCAAGAAAAGCTGTGTGCACAGAGCCACCTCTCAGCAAATGCACCCAAAGGCTTGATCCCACCTGCGGTCAGTGGCCTTTGGCCTCCCCCAGCCTTGGTGGTTAGCCAAGGGCAATCAGCAGCAGCCGAGTCCCAGCGCTGCCATCCCCTCCCAGAGGACCTTGGAAAAGACTGTTGCAATGAAGTCAGGGACCTCACTGCCATACTCGAGGCCACTCCCCAGTGCGTTGCTCAACCTGTCTCCTTTCCTTATACATAAATGCTGCTTCACAGGGCTGCTGTCAGAATCACGGTAATAATAATTACCTCACAGAGTGTTTGCGAGAATAAAGTGAGATCATGTACGGAAAACACCTGGCGACGTGCCTGGTAGGACAGAAGCACTCAGCAAACGGCGAATGCTTCCAATGTCCCCACGGACCTCAAGGTCTTTCTAAGCCGTAACACCCCTCAACTCTGCCCCCCAAGGCTAGAGATTGGCAGTGTCCCATCTCTGGGTTTCAGAAGCAGAGGACTCCAGTCAGTGGGGTTTGGTCCCTCTCTTCACCTCTACTAGGGGCCTGGAAAAGGATCTCCTTCTTTCTCACCCAGTGTGCTGCAAGGGGAAGGCCTGGCTCCATGGCAATCTCTCTCCCTGTGTGCCTCACAGGGCTTTATATGAGACCCGCATGCAACCAGGTGTGCAAAGCAAGAGCTAATACAAAGGGGCTTTATGGATGTCAGGAGGGAGAGATTCATCTATCACCAAGGGCAGGGACATCTGTCTCTGATCAAGGCTAACTTGCTTGCTCTGACCATCCTACATGGTACACACCTCTCCCACCTGGAATCCATCCAGCGCTGTCATCCTGTTCAGCCTAGCCCTTCTTCTCTCTCCTCCAGGATCCCTTTCTAGAATCCTCCTCACAACAGCCAGCCATATTGCTAACCAGGATTTAAGAGGGGTTCCCCTCAAAACAGTCATTATTAACCATTAGAAAAGTAATAGTAATGACTATCACAAACCAATGCCCTCAGGCTTGCTCCCACCCCAGGGCCTTTGCACTTGCTGTTCTCACTGTCTTCAATGCTCTTACCCTAGTTACCCACCTGGCTTACCCTTTACTTCCTTCAGGTCAGTATTCAAATTTCAGTGAGGCCTTCCCTAGCCAAACTATCTAAAAATAGGATCCTCTCTATCAACTCTACTTCCCTTTCCCACTTTAATTCTCTCCACAGCACTTAACATCTCAAATACTATATATTTTCATTGTTTAACTTGCTTATTGTTTAGAAAGCCAGTTCCATGAAGGAAGGGCCTGTTTTTGTTTCATTTGTTTTGTTGACTTGCTAAGTCCCCACCTAGAATGATACGTGGTCCCACAGTAGATGCTCAATAAATGTTTGCTGAATGAATAAATGTCTCCAAAGCTGTATTCTGTGGAAACTTAATAGCTTAAAGGCTTTTATCAAGTAAGAATAGAATGAAAATAGCAATTACCAGGTAAATTACCCTAAGCATTCAACACAAGGACAATAGAGTCTATCTTATTCAACCCCACTTAGCACAGTGACTAGCACCTTAAAGGAGTTCAATGAATAGAGACTGACAGTAAATAAGCAAAGTAAATCTAAGGAGAGCAGGAGGGAATTAAGATAACAGCAGTAATCAAATTAGAAAGGGAATTAAGACAACATCATTAATTAAATTAGACAGTAACAAAACCCTAAAGGACTAGTTTAGAAAATGTACTGTCACACATTAAGATTATAAAAGAAAAAAATAAAACCAACAATAAGAAGATATTTTTATTCTGTTTTGCTTTAATTAGAAGAATAGCTCTGTGCCAAGAAGTTTGAAAATTTCCATTAAAAACATAACCCACCTACCAAGGGACACACAGGGTTCCAATTTGGAACTGCAAGACTGGCAAATTTCATGCTTGTTTTTCCCTCCCTCATCCCGCAAGCCCTCCCTGCAAACGGGTGGCCCTTCCCAAAGGGCAGGGGCCAAGTGCAGGTCACTCCTACCTCCCCAGGGCCCACCCACAGCAGCCCGGACCCCTGTGTGCTGAGTACGCAGCGAGGGCCAGTGAGCCAGGAGGGGGCAGGGGCTCACCTTGTTGGCGCAGCTGAAGCCCAGCCCCAGCTCGGCCAGGACCTTCAGCACGCCCAGGCTACTGTTGCATTTGACAGCGTAAAAGGGCCTGACGCGCGGCAGGCACTTCAGAAAGCACAAGTGCTTCCTCACGATGGCCCCCAGGTCAGCCACGAAGAGGGCACTGACCTCACCCTGCACAACAAGAAGGGTGAATGTGAGACCCCACCCAGCCCCCTCCTTGTGTGTGCCGGCTGTGGTCCTCCTAAGAACCTGCCCCAAGCTCAGCTCTGACAGTGAAGCAGCCCTGCCCTAAAATTCTCTGGCGCTCCCAAGCCTCCAGAACAGAAGGCAAACTTTCCAGCTGCAGACAGATCATTTTCCCACCTCCAAGCCTTTGTTCCCACCATGGTCTCCACACAGAATACCCTTCCCTGATTCATGCATGGCAAATTCCTAAAGTACCTTCAATTTCAGCTCAAATGCCACCTTCCCCAAAGCAATAAGGCAACTCCGCCCTTAGGGCTCCCACTGCATTTTGCACATGCTGATACTCTGGAAAAGTATCAGAACTGTGTATACATCTGTCTTCTCCAGAAAAGTTAAACTCCTTGAAGGCCAAGGCTATTGCCTACATCCTAAAGCCCTGAGGTGGTCCCACTGCCACTGCAACCCATGCCTGTGGACAAATGGTCGTCACAGATACGGTGAGAGCCAATATGTATGAGGCTATGCGTGAGACCACATTACGTAAACCTTCCCTGGAACTCAACTTCCTTTTTATTCAACGCTTTTTTACTAATGCTCACTTGGCGTCTGACATTATGCTAAGGGACAAGAGATAAACTGACAGGGCTCTAGCCCTGAAGAGGCTTGGTCACGGCAGAGAACAAACCCCTCAAGCAATTACCAGCCATTCAATAAATACTAGATGGGAGTTCCTACAAAATGTAGTGGGGGACAAAGAGAAAGAAAATACAAAATCTGCATGGGGCAACTAAGATGACATTGATGAGTAATAAGGAATGGCTAGAAATAGGTAAGAGGGAGGCTGGGAGAAGGGGTTCCAGACAGAGAGGGAACAACCTGGGCAAGGCATGATAAAATGATAAAAGAGCACATGGCATCATTGGGAAATAGAAGTAATTCAGCTCTGATGGAGCATAATGTGTTGTGGGGAAAACCGGAAATGGGGCTATAAAGGCTGAGCGGTTCTGCCTTGAGACTGTGCAGTGCAGTACTGACAGGGAATTGTGATTTTGAGCAGGGGTATGATAAAGTTGGAGGGGGCGGGGTGAGGCAGGGAAGAGGTTAAGGGGCCTTTGGAGAGATGAGGCCTGAACCATGAAGGTCCCAGAAGGGCACACTGGAGGGTGATTTAAGGAGGCTGAATGTACAGAGCTTGGCAAAGCCTAGATGAGGGTAGCAGAGTAAACTCCCAGGTTTCTGACTGAGAGGGCTGCTGGATGATGGTGGTGCTGTTCATTAAGGCAGGGAACACAAGCACCAAGAATCTGCGATAAAATGAGCCGTCTCTTGCAAATAGCAAGGACTGAATACCAAGTACGTGACAAGCTGAGGGTCCTTGGGGCCCTTTCCGAGCAGGCAGCTGGGCCTGCACAGGGACCAGGCACCCACCCCCACTCCCAGCCAGCCCCTCACCTTGGTGGCCTGTGAGGCCTCCAGAGTGAGCTCCTCCAGCAGGTCTCGGGTGCTGAAGCCCTTCTCCACCATCACAAAGTCGGATTCACTCAGGTAGCCAGCCATGCTGAGGAGGAGCCAGAGGGCTGGATGGAGCCTCTGGGGCCGCTGCCTCCGCCTTAGAAAGTATGCAACACACTATGTCGGGAAAGTGAGGGGCCGCTGTTGGGTGGCCTCCGCTGCCCCCCTCACCAACTCAGGCCGGGGTGCCCAGTCCTGCCACTCCCACCCCCCGCACAAGCCTGGGGAGCTTAGATTAATTGGGAAGGGTGGGGATGATCAGGAACCCTAACTGCAACAAGGCACTCTATGCTCTCGGAGACTCAGTTTCCCCATCTGTAAAGTCGATGGATTATTCTGGAGATCCCTTCCAGTTCTGAAATTCAGGTTTTAGTAAAGAGGGAAAGAATGGGAGAGAAGGAGCAGGAATGCTGAGAAACCCAGGTGGATAAGTTCTCAGAACGCCCCCAGTCCTGGCCACGCCCACGTAAAGAGGCTGCCAGTGGCCAGTCCAAGGAATCTCCACCCGAGAGCTGGAGCTTCGGCTCAAGTCCGCTCTCTGCGGCGTGACCTTGGGGACGCCCGTCCTCCTTCGGAGCCTCAGTTTAACCTTCTGTAAATGGGGGCTGGACTGGTCCTGACATGCTAGGATTCTAAGCATGCAAGCGGTGCCACAGGATGGGTGGGGGCCGCGGGGTCTCAGAAGAGAACTGAAGGCTGAGGTTCTGTCGGGGTGAGCCCTCCCGAGTGTAGGGCCGAGGTCCCGCCCCCCACGCTCCCTTACCAAGCCCTTCAGGGGGCCAGAGCCAGGCCGCTGCTAGGGGGAGTCTCCGATGACCTCGAAACTTGTGCAACACCCCTGAGGAGTGGCAGTCGCGGGGCCGAGGCCCCTGCTGAGAGGAGGCAAGAAGGACGGGGGGGGAAGATAGGTCAGCATTGGAACCGAGGGCACCCCCCCGAGGCTCTCTGAGCCACTCCCCGCACTCGCCTTAAAAACCATTTACACGACTTCGGTCCATAGGTCTCCCCAGCGAGTGAATCGGATCCTCCGCGCCTCGGCTCGCTCGCTGGCTCCTACCGGCTCGGGCCTCGCGGCCTGTGCCCCGCCCGCCCAGCGGCCACCAGCCCCCACGCCCCGCCTGCCGCCAGCCGCCAACTTATATGAGCCCCGCCCAGTCCCCGCCTCCGGCTCCAGGGCCCGCCTCCGCTCGGCCGCCCTCCGTAGCCCTGGCAACTGGGTGCCGCCATCCCATTGGTCGATTCTGACATAAAGCGTTCAGTTTCTGCCCGCCTGCGCCGCAAACCTGAGCCGCGATGCTCCCAGGTGAGCTCCCTTCGCGGCCACTTCTTGCAGGGAAATCGGATCCGCTGGGCCGCCGCCTCGGAATCCCGAGCGTCTACGCGATGGGACGCTTAGATCCTGGATATTGGAGCTTAGAGAGTGAGTAGGAAGCCAGGAGGTTTCTACTTGCTCTGGGAATCTTCTGTGACCACCTCAACTCGGTGGGGCGTCTCTCCTCTCTGGTGAAACTGCTCACTCATCCCCTCAAAGCCCAGGTCAGTGCCATCACCTTGTATTACTTTTCTTATAGAATATTTTTTATTTAATTACCTCTTCTAGCATCTTTTCTGATTTCCTTCAACTCAAAACCCAGCTAGAATGTCTTCAGAGAGACTTGTGGCTTCCCTGGCTCAAGGTAATCTCTCCCGTCATCCGTGGGGCAAACTCCTCCTCCTCACTTCGCAGGGGAAATGCGTCTCCTCCACGAAATGTTCTCTGACTTCCTCAACTCAATGCATTTCTTCCCTACCTGACAAACTCATCATCCAACAAAGTCCAGTACAATGTCACCTCCCCTGTTAACCCCCCCATGATTTTCCTAGACTGGAGGAAAAATGGAACTCACAGCATTTATACGGATTCCTCACTCACTTGGTTCTTGTTACCCAGTGTGAGCTTTCTGTTGTTGCTTTATACTTCTTGTTTGGTTATACTTCCCAGCTAGTTTGAGAGCTCCCAAGGGCAGAAACTGAGTGCTGACTCCTCAGAGTACCCAGTGCCCGGCGTAAAAACGAGGGCTCAAGAAGATTCATATCTATGGCACTCAAAATATAATTCGAAGGTTCATCTGGAGTGATAATTTTACAAGAACAGCCAAGATGTTCTTAAAAAAGAAGGAGGACTTCTATCAGCTATAAAAATATAAAGCCAGAGTCTTTAAAACAGAATGGTGCCAGTGCAGAAAGAGACAGTAGTAGAACAGAACAGTCTAGAACAGTCTCGTGCATACTGGATAATTCTGTTCACAATGAAGGCAGAATTTCAAATCAGTGGGGCCAAAGGACTTTTGGTCTAACATACATCTTCATGTTCATTGTCAGGCTGTAGGCTGCCGGAAGCCATGCTACTCAAGCTGTGTAGCAAAGCTCAGGCTGGAGCAAGACCCCCACAAATCAGTGGCCTTCGCAGCTGGCTCCCTCTATTACCCACCTTGATTTTGTTATTTTCCATTATACTATTGGCTTTGTTTTTACTTGCATTGTTGCCAAAGACTAAGCTAACGTTTGCTAAGCAGCATGGAAAAGATGAGAACATACACTTCCCAAAAGCTTTTCAGGACAGTGCTCCTGAAGAATGGAACATGCAGGGGCCAAATGGCGATCTTACCATAAAGTACCAAAACCTGCTGTTAGTCAAACATTGACCACCCCATTTCCACTGAGAATGCCCCCCTTGTTTACAATGCTAGTGAAACTAGTGATGGAAAGTTTTATAGAAATAGAGTCATGAGAAAATGTTGAATAGAATAACCCTGTTGACACTTAATTAATCATCTCATGTTTTCTTCCCTCTACTACTTCTATAGTTTGTTTTTCTTCTTTCCTAATTATGGTCCTTTACTAGAATTTGTGCCTCAGACGTGAAATTACCAAGTACCATAATTTTCCAGGAAGTAAAGATACCTCAAAACAAGTGCTGGGCATAAAAGCCATGGAGCATAAATCTGCAAAGAAGTGAAAAACTAACCTTTTCAAAGAATATTACTTCTCTCTCACTTACCAGCTTTACATCTCCCTGTATGGCCCCGTAAGATGGCTGGTTAGCCAGAGACGGGTAAGTTTCCTCAAGGGAGGAACAACCTAAGACAGGCACAGTCGCAGGGGGGCCATCAGGTGAGAAAAAGAGGGCCAACAGAGGTGAGGCTTAGAACCTCACCCCCCCAGTTTTGAGAGAAATCTTCTACACCTGTGGATGTCTTGCTGCCCTTGTTCAGCTTGGATTAAGACCTGGTCTGTAGGCACAAACCTGATCATCTACACCTGCCTTCTTACAGTTCTAAATCATGCTTTCTATCTATATCTTGCATTTACCTACTACATTAACATTTTTATTAGATTCACATATAAAGTATAAAAATCAAATGAATAATCATACATTATATTTGATGTGATTGTTTATAGTTCAAGGTTTGTAGTTAAAACAGAAACAGTTTCTATGATATGAATGCCCTTGCATTGTTCACCATGTAAGAACTTGTTTAGTCCCTGCAGTAGTGGAGTCTTGGAGACCTGTACAGCATATGTCAAAGAGATTTTGGTATCCACATAGAAGAAAGAGAAATGTAGATAAAAAGGGGAAATTTAGTTTGCTGCCTACTGTGCCCTATAAAGGAGTATAAGATGAAGATATGAGTGTATGATTTTAGATTGGTTATAAATTTATTAAAGCCTCTAAGAATATTTTTGTGGGAAAGAATCCTAGCTAACTGTGGCACTAGGTGACCTGTATTTCACCCTGAGCTGATAGACTCCATAGTCGCTGCTACATACTGCACGCTCCTACGGTCACATGCACTACTTAGAAACTGCATTGCATAGAAACGTAAAACACAATAGAGTACATGTTAATAAGAAAAGTTTCAGTCAAAGAACAGAAAAACAATCACCTGTCTATCGCTTGACCAACCATGAATAGATTAGACAGGAAAAGAAAAAAGCTTGCCTATACTTATTAACCAAGTGCCTATACTAATGAATCATCAGAACAATAAAAAATAATCATATCCTTGCAAAATGGTATAAATAAAGCTGTCATCGACACTTTGTCGAGAGACCACCTCCATGTGACTCCGTGTCCTGTCTCTCCATACGCCGACTCCGTCCTGCACCTTCGGGCATCCCACCCCTAGGCTGGAGCTGGACTCCGGCAGTAGGCTTCTTAAAAACCAAAGGCACTTCTTGTGCTGCTTCATTGTCTCCCCAGGACACCCTGCACAACCTAATCCAAATTACACAGCACTAAACGCTCAGCACACAGCTATAGAACAGTAACCATGGAGTCCGGAAGAGCCATTTTCTGCTCTCCACCCAGCCTGGCCACATGACGGCTGAATATTCTTGGTTGGGTCATCCTGCTTAGACCAGGATCACTTCTATCTGGTTTGATTTCCCCCTGTGAATGGGAAGGGTTCAGACTGAATGATTTCTCTGGGCCCTTCTTTGTGGAACATTCTTGCTTTCTATGCATAGCACCAGCCTGTCTGGAGGCAGTCAGCTTTACAGGAGAGTCATTTGCAGATCCATGCTTTGAGAGATTTGCAGTCATTTGCACCGTAATGTGGAATGGTGACTGAGGTCCCCTGGAAAACAAACATATACTGACTGGGAGGGGGTAGACCAGAACAACCGTGGCAGGACCTCAAAGGAAGCCCTCAAGGAAAGATGACAGTAAGAGGGGCAAGGGGCACCCAAACAAACTTTGGCTCAAATTTTTTTTAATTACTCTTTGAGCTGCCTGTATTTGAATGCCATGGTCTCAGTCTGCCTCACTTGCTCTTTTCATTACCTGGTATATATGCTTACTGAATGAATCAATCAATCAGAAGGAATGAACCAGAATCTAATCTATCTGCTTGTCATCTGCCAAGAGTTAGTAGTCAAAGAAGAAAAATCTAGACTGGATACAGATAAGCTGTGGATTTATTTTTTTTCCCTACTGAGTATGTGATGTCACTGAATCTCCATGACAACCCTGTCATGGGGGCTATAACTATTCCCATTTTACAAATGAGGAATCTGAGACTCAGAGTTCAGTAACTTGCACAGTCACACTGCAAGTAAGGGTGGAGCCCAGATTTAGACCCATCTGTCCTGACTCTTAACCTACCAACCAGTGTCTGAGCATTCCGGCCCCAGCTCAACAAAAGTCACCTGGGCTGCTGGCATCCAGCCCAAAGCCTGGTGGCTCCTCTCCTGTCAGTCTCACATGCCACTCTTATCCATGGATGCTCTGGAGAGCCCTCAAGAATATGCTGCTAAAACAGGACAAAGAGCCTCCAATCTCTAGCCAGGATCAGACAGTCAATTTCAAACTATTCTTCCTGAACCAATCATAATCTTAGTTAGGAATACTGCAGTAATAAAAATGCCTTGTGTGGGCACAGAGCTGGAGAGTTTGAAAAGTGCTTTCCTTGTTCATTATTTCATTCAGGCTTCCCAATACTTCATGGAATGGATATCAGTTAAATTTAGGTTTGGCTGAAGAAAACAGAAAAGTAAAAAATAACAGAGCTATGAACAGAAGTTTATTCTACTATGCATGTAGTATAACACTGGAGGTGGGCAGTCCAAGTCTGGTGTGGCAGCTCCACAAAGTCATCAGGAACCAGGGTGCCACCTCTCTTTCAACTCTTCAGCTCCAGGCTTCTATAGCCTCATGGTCCAAAATAGTTGCTGGAGCTCCAGCCACATTCTCAGGGCTAATATTTAACCAGTATATATGAGTGTTACCAAATTGTTCATGGTCATTGTCCTTTCTGGTCAGCGTTCATCTCAATACTGACAGTTAAGTGTTTGGGCACCAACCCTGCACATTCCAGGGGGCAGGAAGTCTCCTTTTAAGCAACCATCCCCAAATTCCATAAGTGTTAATTTCCTAAGACTGCTGTAACAAAATACCAAAAACTAGGTGGCTTAAAACAACAAATATTTATTGTCTCACAGATCTGGAGGCTAGAAGTCTAAAATCAAAGTGTCATCAGTGCCATGTTCTCTCTGATGTTTCTAGGGGAGAATCCTTCCTTGCTCCCTGTAGCTTCTGATGCTCCCTGGAAATCCTCGGTGTTTCTTGGTTTCTAGATGCATCACTCTAGTCACAGGGCTGCCTTCTCCCTTATGTCTAAACGTCATCTTCCTTGTGCATGTGTCCCTTTCTGTGTCCAAAATTGTATTACGGCCACCTGAATGACCTCACTGTAACTTGATTACTTGTGTAAAGACCCTGTTTCCAAATAAGGTCACATTCTATAGTACTGGGGGCTAGAACTTTAACGTATCTTTTTGGGAGACACAATTCAACCCGTAACACCATCCAAAATGTACTTTCATATCATTGGCCAAAATACAGATACACAGTGCTAACTATCTGCAAGGGAGACGAGAGGTGTAGTTGGGTACATTGTTGTTTCCTCCCACCCCTAATAAAGATAGGGTGATACTAAATAAGGAAGGGAAACTGGATATTGTATGGAGACTGGCAGTCTCTGTCACAAGTAGGAAAGGTTATTTCCCCTTCCACAAATCAGTATACCAGTGCAGAACGATTAGGTTGTTTACTCCATAGGGAGAGGTAGACAGAGAAGTAAGAAACATTTATTGAGCACCTACTGTGTGACAGCAGCCATGCTGAATGTTTATAAACACATGATGGCACTTACTCTTTAGATAACCCTAAGAGATAGGAATTATTAGCCCCATTTTAGAGATGAGAAAATATGGGTTAAATCCTTTGCCTAAGGGTACACAGCTAGAGGTCACAGAGCTGGAACTTACCTCTGACTTGACTGAGTTTATGAGAAAGGCCCCAGAAATGGGGCAGGAAGCCAGAACAGAGAATGCTAAGACCAGGCCAGGAGCAAATATCTGGGGACCTGAGAGAGGCTGGAACTCAGAGTCAGATACAAGACAAACTGGCAGAAAGGGCACCAAACAGAAGTCAGTGCTACAAACTCCCTGAAGGCATCAGTGAGATGGAGACTGAAATAACCAAGAACCAGAAGCTGAAAGCAGCCTTAGGCATTGTAAGGTCAGGGCTGTCTTCAAATTAGGGATGGAAACCTCTAACAGTAACCATCGTTTACTGAGCATCTCCCAGGCTCCAGGCACTGTATCATATGCTTAATAACAATAATACATCGCATTGCCAGAGTACTGACTATCATGCAACTGTGTTGTAAGATATATATATATATATATAGCTTTAACATCACAACTACCCTATCAGGCTTGTGCTATTAAGATTATAGTGGAGGAAAACAAGCTAGAAAGGCTAATTAACCTGCTCAAGTCACACAGCTAGTGAGTGGCTCCACTACACTACAAGCATTTCCTCCATCCTCACAAGTCTGTGGAGTAGGAGTTACTACTCTCATTTCACAATGGAGGAATCTGAGGCCCAGAGAGGCCAAGTGACCTGCCTGAGATCACACAGCTGGTACATAGCAGAGCCTGGACTCAAAATTAAGGCTATGCACAGGCGAGGCACTTAAATTGGTGCAGCCCAGGTCATGGTGGAGCAGTCCCTGGACCCCAACCCTTGGGACCCTGAATTCTAGTTATGAGTGAGGTGTCTGTGTCCCCTGACACAGAGGCAGGCAGCCCAGGGGCCTGGTCTGTGCCTCAGAACCGAGCACAAGAATGGGCACCAAGGAAGCAAAGCTCAAATCTGTTGACTGAATGTGAAATTGTAGTTACAACCCTTCCCTAGACAGACAAGATGCTAAGATGCTGAATTTGGTAGTTTGGTTTCTTTACTCTCTTTTATGGTATTTTCACTCTCTTTTATGAGAGCTAAATAAAAATGTGACAAATAGTAACAGTGTATTACAATTAAGGAATTCACACACCTTCTCTCAAGCCAGACCTGAGTCATTTCTGACAAATGTAATGAGAAAACAACAACCACCAAAAAAAAATAATAATGCTCAGTTGAAAATTCTTACTTTCTCCAGCTGCTGTCTCCAGAGCCACCTGGGAATGGAAGTGAAAAAGCTGTTGATGTTTCTGCTTTCTCCAACGGTTCTCAGAAGGGTGCGCATCAGAATCACCTGGAGACTAATTAAAACAGAGTTCCAGACCCACCCCCAGAGTTTCTGATGCAGTAAGGCTGGCATGGGCCTGAGAAAATGCATTTCTGACAAATTTCTAGGTGACGCCGATGCTGCTGGCCCAGGAACCATGCTCGGAGGATCCCTGGCCTAAATGAACTCGAGTCCCAGTTGGCAAAAAGGTCAAGGCTGTGTATCCTTGAAGAGGGTATCAAGATTTTACCATGTCCCCTCTCTGGCAGAGCGGTAGGGTGGTACAAAAACCAACCTGGGCTGAATGGCAGTACTGTCTCTAGATAATAAGTGAACAAACTTTGGGGGTATCTAAGCTACAATCCATTTCCTGGAGCAACCCTCACCAGCTGGAGGACCTTGGTAAAATTACTCACTTTATGTAAGCCTCGCTTCAGTCATCTATGAAATGGGCATACTAAGAGTGCCTACTTCCTAGAATTGGTATAAGGAGTTCACGAGCATTAAAAGCTTTTGCCTAGTGTTTGGCACATACATTAGCAAATGCCTTCTAGGTAATAGCTATTAGTATTGTTACGCTGAGCCAGGGGATAGAAATCCAGAAATGTGTCAGAGGGATAGTGCTGGTGCAGGAGGAGGGAAGCAGCCCCACAGGAGGTTTCAGAACCTAAGCTGAGGACCACCCAGCAGGGGTCAGAGGCTCAGGAAGAGGGTCAGCACAGTGTGAGGAGGTGAGTGGTGGAATTCCATTCCATTGCCCTGTAGGATTTCACAAGGCAGAGGGCCGGTGTGCTGAGCACTGAGTCATGCAGGCCTGACCCAAGCAGGGCCTCTTTCTAAATTGTTGCAGTAACCACGTTCTCCTAAAAAACTGCTCACTCACCCCAACGAAGAATGGAGCCAGACAGACACATCTGGCCCTCTGCAACCCTGCCCCACTGCTGCCTGAACTCACTTCATCCATATGCCTCCTGTTAACTGACCAATCCAGAACACAGAGACTGTGGGTAGGTGAGGGGCCAGAGCCAGGCTCAGTGGAATCCACTCCAGAGGAAACCAGAGAATGTTTGCCTCTGTCTCTGAGGCATCCAGCCACCCCTCATGTCTGTGAGAGACCCTGGGTCCTTTGGGTAAGCCCCTTCACAGAGGCCACATAGCCAGTCCAAAAACATGGACACCAGACTTCCTGCCTTTGAAGGGCACAGCATCACTTCCTCTGCATTCTGTGGGTCCCAGAGCTCTCCCAGATTCAATGTGGGATGACACTACACAACAGCATTAGTAGTGGGATGCATGGTTCACTGGGGGCCATCTCTGGAAACTAGCTGTCCCAGAATCCACTGAATCTCTACATGTCAGCTGTCCCTCTGTCTCAGTCAGGGTCATCATCTTTAGCCTGGAGGTCTGCAATAATTTCCTAAATTATCTCCTTACACTAGTCTTATCTCCTGCCAGTCCAGCCCCACACTGCCACCAGTGTCATTAAAATGCAAATATCTCAAAATGCAAATTGTCGATCCCTATTTACAACCCTGCAATGACTTCCCTTTGCTCCTGGGATAAAGTCCCAGATCCTTAACAAAACCTGTGAGACCCCTGGGCAGGGGACCCACCTCCAGTCCCGACCATGCCTGGCTCCTCACTTTCCCTTCCGCCACCTTCCAGGCCTTCCTGCAGCTCCTTGAACCTGCCGTGCTCTTTCCTTTCCGGGAGCCTTCACATTTGCTGTCCCTTTGCCTGGAACATCTTCCCTGCCTCTTCACCAGACCAACTGCTGCTCACCCTTCAGGTCTCTGCTTAAACATCCTTTCCTCAGACAGGCTGTCCCCGATGCTTTGAATCAGTCAACACATGTTTTTGTTCCAAGTAGGAGAAAATCCCCTTCAAACTGGTTCAAGCAGTTTGAATAAAAAGGGAGTTTATTGCCTCATGTAACTAAGACATTGGAGAATAAAAGCTCACACACAGACTTTGCTTCATGTCTCAGCTCTGCTGCCTTGGGGCTGGCTTTGTCCTCAGACAGACTCCCACCCCACTGCCAGCCCTGGCCCCCAGGACTGTGTTTCCCTGTCCTTTGAGGTGCGCATCTCTGACTGATCAGGCCTGGGTCTCAAGCCACCCCCACCCCTAACAGGATGACAGAATCAGTATGGAAGGCGAGTCGGGAAGGGTTGTTTCCCCAAATGAGAAACGGAGCATTGTTACCTGAAGAAGGGGGACGCATTCCAGGCAGGTAAAATAAACACCAATGTATTCCTTTTATGCCTTTGCTGGCACCTGAATGTGTCCTTTACACACCCAGGTGCCCTCTTGCCTCAGGAGCTTTGCTTTTATTTTAAAATCACCTAAAATCCTTTTTCAAAAAGTATTTTATTTTGAAATTTCATACAGAAAAATTTTTCAAATAATACATACCCTTAACCCAAATTCCCTAAACGTTAACATTTTAACATTCTTTGCCTTTACATTTTTTTCTTTCTACACATGTGTATTTATATATGTGTGCATACACATACATATTGTATATGCACCTAGATAATCTATTTTTTTTCTGAACTGTTTGAGAGTAAGTTACAGGCATAATCCCCTTAGCATTAATACATCAGTGTGCATTTTGCCTGGAATGTGTATCCTCCAGAGACCCATGCGGCTCACTGGGATATGTGGCACAGCCTCGCCACCTTCAAGTTCTTGCTCAAAGGAAACCTTGTCAAGGAGGCCTGTCAGAGCCCACCACTCCATACACACGGCTTCCCTTCTCAGACTTCTTACCCCTCTTTACCTTTTCTTCTTTTATAGCACCTTTCATTTTCTAGGATACTTTAGAATTTATGTGTTAAGTCTGTGTATTTTAAGCTTCATAAAGACCCGGCTCTCGTGTTCACTGAAATATCCCAAGCTCCCCAAACAGTATTTAGCACATAGCAGATGGTCAATATATGCTTATTGAATGAAGGAAGGAAGGAATGGGGCAACCCAAGGTCTTGGCCACTGAGCCACAGGGTGCTTTTCATCAGGCCCTGCCGAGGGCCGGACTGGTTTGGGAGCTTTTCTATGATGTCCTCTGCTGTTGCCCAGACTCTCCATGGACCATATGTGACACTGATTTATGTGACCTTTGTGCTTGTTGGGATGAACCATGGTAACACTGTGAGATCTAAGTGTTATTGTTACCTTTGCCTTCCTTTTGTCTCTCCTTCCCCTGCCCCAAAGCCACCCTTTACCCTAATGTGCTTCTCCCACAAGGCAACCATTCCCCTCCTGTGTGGCAGAGGCAGGGCCGTGTGGTACAGGGGCAGGAGCCCTTGGAAAACTGCCCCCAGTTCTCTCCTCGGTGACTTCCATGACCTCTGAGACTCTTGGTGGCTCAGCTATCACCCGCCAGCCTCCTAATATCCTCACCTAGGGAATCTGGGTTGAGATTGTGGCCTTTTCTCGGACGAAAGAATGTGCGGTTTGCTCTCACAGGAAAGAGATGATGAGAAAAGTACTTTCAGGTCTGGGGTAGCTGCTTCCTGCCTCTCAGTTTGCGAACTAAACAAATCTGAATGTAAATCTAAAGCTGCCACACCCCAGTACTTCTATGACCCTGGCAATTTGCTTCAGTGTCTGAGTCTTAGTGTTTTCCACTGTAAAATAGGTATGGTAATATTTTCTTCAGAAGGTTTTTGGGAGGGATAAATTAAAAGATACATGCAAAGCACTTTGCATACCACCTGACACATAGAAAGTGTTCCAGAAATAGTAACCAGTATTGGCTTCTGGGCTCTGAATGGACTCCTGCAGGCACACATGGGCAGGGGTGGGAGGGGGTGCACTCCTGGAGTCCTGTTTGCACACCAGTTGTGGGCCTGGGTGCTGTGTGTGACTGCTGCCAGGATGGCTCCCTGGGCCAAGGTTGTGGCTGTTTTGGAGACACCGGTTCCTGATGTCCAGCCCCTCATCCCTCCATCTCAGAGCTGAGCCCAGAAGTCTGAGTCAAAGAAAGCACTTGAGGTTCCTGGGAAAGCTATCTGGCCCAGGAGCACTTATCAGATGTTTCCCCCTACATGGTTAGTTTATTGAAATATTGTATTCCTCACTGACAGCTGCAAAACAAATAACTCCCAAAACTGAATGGCTTAAAACGAACCTTAATTATCTCACACAGTTTCTGAGGGTCAGAAATCAGGAAGTGGCTTAGCTCTGTGAGCTGGTTCGGGGTCTCTCATGAGTTTGTGGTCAAGCAGTCAGCCAAGGCTGCATTCAGTGGAAGCCATTCCCTGGGACTGAAGCATCCACTTGCTGTAAGCCCACTCAGAGCTGCTGGCAGGAGGCTTCAGCTCCTTGCCATGTACATCCATAAAGTCACTCAGTGCATGGCCTCTTCCAAAGCAGGTGATCTGAGAAAAAAGAGTGAGAGAAACCAAGGTGACACAGTGGTGTGTCTTACAGCCTTATCGGCACTGACACACCATCCCTTCTGCCATGTCCTACTGGCCACCCAGACCAACTTGATGCAACATGGAGGGCAGGGATCAAACGAGGGCACTCACCCCAGGAGGCAGGGGTCACTGGGGGCTATTTTGAACACTCCCATCATAGGCATAATTTACATATGATGAAATTCATAGATCATCGGCATACAGTTTTATCAGTTTTAACAACTGAACATATTCACGTGACCCACACTCCTATCAAGGTTAAAACATTTTCAACACCTCAGAAGAGTCCTCATTCTCAGAACATCCATCACCTCAGGCCACTTCCCAGTCAAGCCTCCCTCACCCCAAACAACTACTCATCTGATATCTATCCACATATAATCCACAGTTTTGTCTGGTCTAGAACTTCATGAAAAAGGACCCATTCTGTCTGTACTGGGTCTGGCTTCTTTTGCTCTGCATGATGCCTTTGAGACTCAGACCCACTGTTGCGTGTATCGATGGTTCCTCCCACTTTATTGTTGAGTTAGATGCTCTCTCCTTTGCGTGATTCTCACACTTACTCAATGTAACATCCAGCAGTTACCTCCTCATATTTGTCCTTTTCCTAGGCTGTGATCTGCCCGAGGACAGAGGCTATAGCTCATCTATTTCTGAGTTCAGTGCCTGGCAGGCAGGAGGTGCTGGGAACTGTCACATCCTGGGTCTTGGAAGTGCAGCATAACGGGAAGTAGGGGCTGGCAGGCAGAGGTGGCAGGGCAGGCCAGACACTGACAGGAGACTGCTCACTGGGGCCTGAAATCACTCCAAGATCCACCATCCACAGGCCCCAGGAGCACAGAAGGCTCTCCAATCAGACATTCCAAGACAGAGAGGTTTCAGTCCCAACAAACACAGGGGGGCAGTGAGTCCAGGGCTGTCATCCTCTGGATAATGGAGTCATAATTCCCAGCTAGCAGGGTGAGTACAGGACTGGCCAAGGCGAAGTGCTAGGTGCACTGGCTGACAGAGAAAAGGTAGTGTGACTTGGCGGCTTGAGGTACCAGCCGGGACCTTCCCTGTTTACTAAGAAAAGTGGAATTAGCACCGGAATCTAAGCTGGAAACAAAAGGCATGAAGTATCTACCTTCCAAGCTCAGCGGACGGCTGGCTCCCCTTAGGGCTTGCTGGAAAGGGCCATTTCAGCAGAACCAGCACTACTGTCAGGGTTCTTCACTAGTGAAAGAAGCCCCCTGACCCTCTCTCCCTGAGAAGCAGAGCAGGGAGCAATGGATCGATTCCTGGCCCTGAGGCTGGCTCCATGTGTCCAACTGTATTTTGCAAAGATGGCCACCATAATGTCTCCCACCCCGCTGGCTTTTCCGCAACGTGACCTTACCAGTCTTGCAGCAAGAGAACCAGTCAGATCCCCTCCCCTGGAATCTGGGCTGAACTCACCTGGAACAATAGAATGTGGTAGAAATTACCCTGTATGAGGTCCAGAGCAAAGCTGAAAGAAATCTTGCAACATTTTCCTTGTTCTCTTGGAAAGTTCACTCTACAGACACTCGCCCAAGACATTCCCTCTTGGAACCCAGTTCCTATGCTGCGAGAAGCCACACCACGTGAACAGGCCACGTATAGTCCCTCCAGGGGACAGTGCCAGCTGAGCCTTCAAGGCGTCCCAGCTCAGGCACCAGTCACCCAAATGAAGCAGCCTCCAGGTGATTCCAGCCTCCGACCATTGAAGTCTTCCCAGCTAAGGGCCCAGACATCCTAGAGCAGTGTATTAGTTATCTACTGCTGAGTGAGAAATCACCCCACATCTAACCCTTAAAATCACACACTTTTATCGATATGACAAAGTTTCTGACAATCAGGAATTCCAGAGAGGAAGATCTGGGTCGTTCTAAGTCAGGGTCTCTGCGAGCTGCGGTCAAGCTGTTGGCCAAGGCCTGCCTTCATCTAAGATTTCTTCAGGGGCAGGAGGCCCCACTTCCAAGCTCATTCGCTGGCCATTGGCAGGAGGCCTCTCTGGATGGGCCTCTCCATATGTGTAATCTTACAGTATGGCAGCTGGCTTGTCCCAGAATGAGAGATCCAAAAGACCGAGGCAGAAACCGCAATAGCTTGTATAACCTAGACTCATAGTGAAAACTATTTGGTCTATTCTATTGGCCACACGGGCCAACCCTGAGACAAAGTGGGATGGGATTACCCAAGGGCATGAATACCGGGAGGCAGGGATCATTGGGCACCACCTTGGAGGCTACCTGCCGCAAGCAGAGCCCAGCCACCCCCCTTCCCCTGTGCCCTGTCAAATTCCTGACCCAAGGAATCCATGGGCGTGATTAAAATGGTGGCTGTTTATGCCATGACATTTGGGGTGGTCTGTTGCACAGCAGTAGATGGCTGGAACAGAGCCAAGAGAATTTGCTGATACAGTTTGGGGTGCCACCAGAGGGCGTCTGACCTCCCATTCCCCGTGGTTGTCAGCTGAGCTGCTGACACTGAAATAGGAAAAGGGCATTAGAGAGCAAAGGCAAGGTGTGACCAGGTGACCTGGCCAGGAAGAGGAAGAAACATGGATTCTGCCCATGTCTGCGGGCTCCAGGAGTGGGGCTGCAGAGGGAACATGTGATGAGGGCAGCAGGCCAGCTGGGGCAAAAAGGTGAGCCTTGAAGGGCAGACCTGGGGCCACCAGCAGGGAAGAGCTATTTGGCTCAGAGCCCTTTATCACCGTGGCCGGTTGGGGGAACAATGTCCATAGATAATGAGCTGAGCTGTGATGACAGGAACGCAGCCACCTCGGAAGCAGTAAAAAAGGGGTCAGTCAAGGGCCAGAAGGGGTCACCTAAAGCAACAAGACTTTTTTTCCTTCTTGTGCTTCCCCAGAAGAGGGTGAGGAAGGAAGAGCAGACCATACCCACCTCCTCTCCCACCACAAGTCCTGCTTGCTGGGACTCTGAATTCAATATGACCTTTGACAATGGAAAGATAAGAAAGGAAGGAAGGAAGAGCGAAGGAAAGTGGGGGGCAGGGAGAGTGGGAGGGAGGAAGGAAGAATTTGGAAAGACCAGGTTAATTCCTGAAACAAGAGACTGCATTAATAACTAAAAATGGAGATGTAGCCCCTGCCACCTCCACCAGCCTAGTTTCTCAGCTGATCTCTTCCCACTTCGAAGTTTAAATTCTATGCTTTAGTTATACCAAACTACTTGTACCCCCTCTTGCACTAAACTGATTCATGCCTCCAGGCCTTTGCTCAAACTGTTCCCCCTGCCTGGAATGCCCTTCCTGCTTCTTTGCTGCCTCCATCCTGCTCATCCCTCAGGACTCAGTTCTGGAGTTATGTCCTTTATAAAGTTATCCCAGAATCCTTTCCCCTACCCCAGATTAGGTTATTTGCCCCTGCTAAATCTTCCCTTAGAGCTTTGTGTCTATTACTCTCATGTTTGTTAGACTATAAGCTCCAGGAGAGCAATGACAGTCCCTGTCTTATTTACACTAAATGCCCACACCCTAGCATATCAGGATTGCTCAGTAATTGTGCATCAGATGAATGAATGACTAAATTAATCCACCAACCTTGCTTATTGCATCATATTATTACTCTCCGCTCACTCACTTGTCCATCATCATCTGAGCTCCCCAACGCAAGGACCACAGAGTGCTGACTGTCAGGCATAATAGGTGCTCAATAAATGTTCTTCTAGGAGCACTCCCAGGCCAGTGCCCACTGCTCTGCATCACCATTTTCCAACAGAACTTCTGGTTCATTCCACAAGGGTTTCTGATTCATTCGACAAGAGTTTCCTCATAGGCAGTGTCCAAAGTGCAGCATTTCCCAAGAAAGTATGTATCTGTTGCTGTTAACATTGTAAGACTTTTCTCGCAATGCTGACAGACTTTACAGAAATCAGCATTTGGCCACAGTGACCTCAAAATCATAGCTGAAAGGGTGTGGTTGTCCAGGCAGCTTGGGTTTAGCCAGTTCTTTAGAAAACCACATCTCAGTGTTGTGGTTTGGGTGGCAAAGGGACCAGCGCATGTTACAGAAATCGAGAAGTGGGTACCAGGCCAGGTGAGATCATAAAGCCCAAGAAAGGCACAGAAGAAGGAGTGTCTTCTGGCGGCTGGGAGAGGGTTGGTCTGTGTAGGTAACTGGGACTCAAGAGTCCATGGTAAGTGGTCTTGGCCCACTTAGCAAGAGTCTCCTGTCCAGCCTCTCTATTCTGACCCCATAAAGGATAGATCAGTTAGGATGGGCTAGGTTTTGCTATAGTAAGAAATAACTGGGAAAATCTCAGTTATCTTAAAACAACAAAATTAATCCCTTGCTCATTTGAATCAGCTAGGGGTCTCTGCTCAAATAGGCCCTGGACCATTGGAGGCTCCATCTCAACGCAGGCTTCCATGACTACAGAGGCAGGGAAAAGAGAATATATGAACCCTGCTCTGGCTCTCAAAAGCTTTG